TTCCAGAGACAGTTGTAAGCACTGTGTAACTGCCTCGAGGGTGCTTGACCATTTTAACACAACGTGGTGCGATCATCCCCCTTGCGCGGAGTGAGGGTTCTCCACCCCGCACAACATGATCTACTCGACCACCACTATGGTTACCGCCAAAAAAAAAACGGAGGTAAAAAGAAAAACGGTAACCTGATTGCCGAGTTGACGAAGTGAATTGGCTTGTTTTACAACGTGGTTGCCAAGCGACGAAAACCCAACCCCGATGGCAAACACCGGGGGGGGGCGGGGGGGGTTACTCGTGTAAACGGATGTCGTACAGCAGTCGTTAGACCAGGGATGGGGGCCAGATATGTAAAGGCTTCGAAACGGCTTCAATGATATCAATATGACCACAGGCTTTAGCGGTCGTGGAAAGGCAGAGGGCTTTCTCGCTGCTGCCGACCGAAAATAGAACAGAACTGCTTGCTCGACGTGGCTGCTCTGGATCTTTCTTAACATCTTCAATCGAAACGGATTTATCTTCTTAGGCAATCCCGTGTTGATTCGGAACAACAACAGCGGTGCTTGAAACCCGTGAGAATATCGCGGCATACGCTGTGAGAAGTCGCGACCCGCATGTACTGTAACAAATGGAGAATACAAAAAACCCGTAACGTTCCAGGTGGAATCGGCCGTCTCATCTCACGTAAAAGCATGTACAGACTGCAGATGTGTAGGCGTGAAATATAGGAGATACGTGTACATGCAGCACAGCTAGGAAGGACATCGACATATTTCCTGCTGCTGAGGGAACCTGCAACAAGAAACCCGCCGAGATCGAGAAAAGCTAGAGACATCAGCATCTACAGGAAGGTGAAAAGGCCTGTGCCTACCAATACAATTTGGTCTATTTTTGTGGTTGGAAGAGGAGTAGACTAGACTACTCGGGATGTGATGTGAGCGGGATGAGAGGGTCGTCTAGAAACAATGAGCTGCTGGTTGGTCCACTTACTGTATGCATACAACAGCCTGGGAGCTACAGTTGGCGCCCGCAGTCAAGAAATATTTTGCGAAGAAATTGAGGCTCACTTTTTCACGAAAAATAAGAAGACAGGGTCAAGAAACATAGCTTAATCTGGGTCAGACAATAAGAAATGGCTCAAAAAGATAGGAAGGGAGCGGGGGGCGCAACAGGGTCACAACCCCCAATGTTCGCCTCACGGAGCTTGCATCATGATGACGGGGTAGTTTTCGTTGTTGGGCACGTCAGCGTGCGGGTGGGGCATCATGCGGTGTTGATGCATTTGTTTAGTTTCAGCCCTCACTCATGAGGGGGGTACAGGACCTTGCAGCGATAGCGAGACGTTGCCGCTGGATACATTTCGCTTCTAGCNCTCACGGAGCTTGCATCATGATGACGGGGTAGTTTTCGTTGTTGGGCACGTCAGCGTGCGGGTGGGGCATCATGCGGTGTTGATGCATTTGTTTAGTTTCAGCCCTCACTCATGAGGGGGGTACAGGACCTTGCAGCGATAGCGAGACGTTGCCGCTGGATACATTTCGCTTCTAGCGAGTGGCCTTACGTGCAGCCGTCGGTAGTGAGAATCGGGGTTGAGTACGGGGGTCGAGGAAAGCAGTACAAATCATTTGTATATTTGGAACGTTGTGTAGTATGCAAGCAGAGAGATAATAAGAAATTGCTGATTTAAGAAATTCAGCGGGATTTGGCTGCACGAAAAAATAAGAAACTTGAAATAAGAAACTGAACGACATACGCTGAGGCTGGACCTGAAATAAGCGTTTCTTAACTGCGGGCGCCAACTGTATACAGCAGTAGTAGTTACTCTTGCGAAGCTACCTTTCAGCCTATACAGCGTCTTCAGTACTTCACTTGACGCCGGAAAACTCCGGGTATAGACCAACTTTTAAGGAGTAGGGAACCTGCTGCTATGTAGTACAATAGATTTATGCGGTTGCCCACTCGACTACCACTCAAACAGATAAAATAGATTATCTAGAACCGGGGCGACCGATTGGGAAATGCATCGTACCCTGCTGTCCGGGTGACAATCGCCCTCTTTTGGTGACCGTTTGAGGTACAAGAGTTTTAGGACCCTACGAGATATTTCCATCGTCAAAAGGAACAACTCCCCGCGTTCGGGGTGTTCTTGGAAAACGAAAAATCCTGTAAACGAGTAGAGAGGTGGATGGCAATGGCAATGATGCCAACGAGAGCTGGCGTAATAGATGTACCAAAGGCGAGAGAAAGGCTTCACATTGAGCGAGGATAGGAGGCTACACAGCCGTACACTCAAAAGACGTGGCCAAGAACCCGAAAAAGTTGTGTGGTGGGTGACGGCAGTGTCTGACGCCACTCGAGATTACAATCTCCCTGTCAGTGGCACGGTCTGTTGTTCTTTATGGATTGTAGAACAATCAACGGGGACGGGATGTTAATGTTTGACTAACACGACGGAGCTGTTAGCGCGAGAAGTGGGTGTATATAGCTCCGTAGTAGACGTTGCAGGCTACGATGAGTTGCCGTGCAGAGCCTTCCTCCCTCCAACTCACACCGTTGTTCTCAACAAGAAGCGATACATAACGGTGGGTGCAGCGTAGCGTAACCGCACTGGACGGATGGATGGATCTTTGAAAGGGAAGAAGAAGAAACTTTCACGGACCGGCACACACGTAAGGATGGATGTCTGCGTGTGTCGCCTACATCACCCCACGATCCTGTGACTTGAACGCCGTCCTCCACTCTCCGATGCACACGCGCCGGCCGTGCATGCTCCAATGAACCCATCGCCCCCAACGTCCAGTAACGGAAGGTGCGAGACTGGCCAATGGTTTCACCATGTCAACGGTACTTTGGGGTCGAACACAGCTGTCATCAAATCATTCCAAATTCCGGAAACCAACGGCCTGCGGCGCGCACATACGGATCGATCCCCTATTTTTCAAAATATCAGAGGAGTGTGGAGGAAAATTCGACACCCGATACTGTTGCCTTGACCACGTGAGAGCGCACTCAGGGGCTTACAGACGCACCGGCGTTAGGCAGCCACGGGTTCCTTTGGACCATCAGCTGACTTGGGGTGTTCTCCAAATCATGACAAAGAGCCGGAAACAACGCGAGACAGCTAAAAGGGATCCGAACACATCATACACATATAAAGGACGGGCAGAGGACAACCAGGAACCCTTTTGGCAACCTCACCTGTTGCTAGATGAGCCACCAACAGAACGAATGCGAACCCGGCTGTGCGCCTCCTTGCCTCCCCAACGGCCTTCTTCCTTTGTCCCCCACAAGTCATGGTAGATAGTCTCCACACGGACCAGAGGGCAGCAGTCCGACAGATCAAACGACCACACACACGGGATCGCCGTCCGTGTTACTTCGGCACTCCAAACTCCAAAGAAACCTCTGAAGCGACAGCTGCTGTCGGTACACAAGGCCTCGACACAAGTGCTCGTTGCCGCAGTACACACTAGGTATGCTGTTGTGTCGAAAGTTCTTGTGGTACCTGTGTGAGCTTCTCTGCTCTACGTGCACGACAGCAACGAGCAAGGGGTGGGGGATTTTCCCTCTATCTCGGCTCGTTTTTTTTTTGCTCGTGTGGAGGCGTTCTTTTTTTGCCGGGATACGACTGCATACATCAGGAGCGCGAAAACCTGCTCAAGTTGCGTTTGGCCCCGTGGTGCGCTAGGAAGGGAGCCATGAGGCAGCGGTGGTGGTCCATGAAAACGAGACGTGAGCGACATGTGCAAAGAAGTAGGGGAGATATGTAGCAGTCAACTTGTTTTTGTCCAGGAAGAGAAGGGGATCGCTTTCACCGGTTTGACCAGAGCTACTGCTGTGTATGCGCAGCTAGCTGCACCTACTCATTGTTTCCTGCGCAGCAGGCTACCGGTGCGTGTGCGACCCCGGTCGCACTCTACCCCTGACCAGCATGGGAATAGCGGGCTGCGCCTTTATTTTTGTACACAGCAGTATGGACCCGCAAACAAAACTGAAACGGGTTGCTAATGTCAGTTAATTTTATACACCAAGGGTCGGAATTGTGTGAAATGTTCCGCTTTGTTCGGAGACAGGCGTCGAGCAAGCGAAACGGGCATCGAAGCTGACATTGCAACCAACCCTCGTTAACGATAGCATTGACCAACGAAAACCTTTTGTTTCCCTCGAGATGGGCCCCACGGGGGGCGCTTTCCTCCCTCGCGTTGGGAGAAGGGGCGGCATAAAGTCCGTATGCATATGTTGGAGGTAAGCAGCACAAGAACGACTCTATTCTACTGTGACGTGGAATCGGCCGGCGATGGCCTATCGCGCGTAGATATATGTGTA